GTGTGTGTGTGTGTGTGTGTGTGTGTGTGTGTATGGGAAAATCTCATTGCTTAAAAGTTCATTAAAGGGCGACTCTCTAAGAATGGTAGTATCAGTGAGACAAATTACACCCTTGAGGATCAGGAAAAGCACTATCACTCCCAAACATTCTATCTCCTAGTTAAATATACTTGTGCCTCTAATGAGCCACCACCATTACCGAGTGATACTTGTCATTATTTTGTAAAAAGTGTTGTAGAGGTGGCAATTTAACCGTTTCATATCATGATTAAACCCAACTCGGTAATAATTATTTTGATGCACATGCATATCTCTCCTACCATGTATTTGGCATTTCCACTTGCCTCTTAGAAAGCATGCTCATGATGCTGAAGAGCACTCCCTGCCAAATCGGAAAGGTTCAGGCTTTTCAGAGCATCATCACTGATTACGGATCATGCATATGGGGATCTAAAGCTACATCAAATCATATGATTCTACCACCGCTGCCTCTTTTTCACGTTGCGTTGCCTCATCAAACAAGAAATTGACATCAGTTGATCAGACCGATGCCAGTTGTTGGTATGTTGAGGGAGTACGATGGAAAGGTTGACACCATTAGACTGCTATATGAAACAAAATAGATTTGCCTATTTCTGATTATCTAACTGTTCCACGTTTTCATCATCACCCGATTTTTTTAATCAGTAAGGTATCTGTCACTCTGAATAGTCCTGAATTCCGTGCATACTTCCATGCCTCAAATTAGCGGATTGGTCGAGCTTTAGTGCTTCCAATTTCTTATTTTGCACGCATTTTTTGATTAATAGCTTTAACTCTCTACTAAACGTGATCCCTGCATTTCTTCACTCGTAAATTCAACCAGAAGACACCTTTTTATGCGCGTTGGCGTGTACATGAAATGGATGTGGTGAAGTCTAGGCGGCATTCACTACTACATGTCTTATTGTTGTTTCTGTGTGTTCATTAGCCCGAGCCCTGTGGGGCGTTTAACCGAAAGTGAATTTAAGGTGCCACGTCAATCATCTCGGTATGCATACCACCAGCAGTGGTTGAAACAATTACTTCACTTACAACTCCAGTTTACACTAATTCACAATGGTAAACTTCAGCGGTTCGGTATGAAAAGCGAAATTTTGTTGGTGGTGTGGATTTGCATACCACCTTGTTTTGCCGCATTATAGCACCGGCGTGACAATCACGCCACTTTTTTTGCAATCACTTGTCCTATGGTGATTCCATCCATGTACATTCAATAAATCCGCAGTTCTCTTTTGTTTTCCGTACTGTGCTCACTTTATTTGACCCCTATGGTCATCGCTTCTGTATGGTCGTGTTGTAATGCTAGTGTTAAGGTCTCGCCTAAACTTCATGCTTGTGATTAATTTTCTTCTTCAATGGGAACATGCGGGCACAGGGTCGTGGCTATGCACTTACAAATACTGGTTAGTATGTTATTACGCACCGTCACGACCGAGTTTCAGCACTGCAGGCTTACCACAGAAGAGCATGTACACACCGTCACGTATACGCGCTGCTTGTGGAGATGATGGTGGGACAATTATGGTTCTGATTTACCATATGGGTGAGAATGACAATCAGACCGGTTCCTTCATCGATAACGGATAGGTCTTCAAGACGGGAATTTTCAATGTGGCTGGAAGAAATGACGGCCGAAGAAGTGACTTTCAGAGTTCAGATGTTGAAATTTGAATAGTATTGTTTGCGCGGTAGTCAGTCACTCGAATACGCTGTCGTGAGAGGAAACCGGTCTCTCTCTCCCGACCAATTTCGACCAGATATTGAATTACACCCTCATATCATTTCACCCAAGCGATCGTAATGGGTGGGTCTTGTTTGTAAATTGACCAACAAGGTCCCGTGAAGCTGGAATCCAAAACGTGCTAAAGTGCATCGTGAAACGAGCAGCATTTGCTATTTTAGCAAGTATTGTGGTTTGGTACCTCATGATAAGACGGAACGCTGGTGTCTGTCAAATATGACTTATCCTCGTCATGTCAGATTTCGTCTTAAGGTAAAGGTGGCTCACCTCCAATGTCGTAACAGCGAATAAATGGCGGATTCCAGATCCCATCTTTTCCAGCCATCGGTCGTTTGTCTTATAAGGGCGGAATCCGCATAGCTTCTCCACCCTGTCAATTTGTTGAAATAGTTCAACACTGCTTGAAAAGTATGGTTTATGTGATTTTTCTGCCGACTCCTGAGTATTTTAATCTGGATGAGGTCACTTTCACTCGCTTCGGTTGGAGTTTTCCCACGCAAAATTTCTCAATATGTATGTGTGCGTGTATTTTGCACTTATTCAGTAGCTAAGCAGCTCATGAGCCTTTCGAGAGTTCTACCCTAGGGGCGTCCTTTCACTCAGATTTGTAAATTACACATTAGTTCTCAAAAATAACTCTAAGAAAGCGATTCTATGGGTAATCTTGTGCAGGTGACACCTTGGTGCTGCACTCTCAACAGTAAAATTAAAACTTTAATTGTTGAATTTCAAACCCTTTGCCCCCGGGATTCATGGGCCTCTTTGCCCCCTCAAACTGTTGTTGCATTTGGCAGGAGGCAAATCAGGGATTGCATCAGTGGTCCTGTTGTCACTGGATAGCTCTTATACAAATGGAGATTCTCTGCAGGTCAAGTGACCTGAAATAAGTTGGGTACTTCCAACCAGGTTAGGGCAGCATCTCCCCCTGTGCCTGAAGTACTCACCACTGCACTTTGCTTGAGTTGCTTTACATTCAACATGCTGCATACCGGTAGATCACCCTTTTTATAACCTTTGAGGAGAAATTCTCCGAAGTCGTTGTATTATAAATGTTTATGTCTTTTATTACAGACCGTTTCAGGTATCATAGAGGCGGACAGGAAGATGCTGGAGAGCTGCCCTGGCATAGGCCCCGTGAAAGCGGAGAAAATCTACGAGGCACTTCATTCTAGTCTCAAGCGGAAGAATCTCGATTAGCTGACACAAGTATTTAAACGGACTGCTCAACGCAAGAAGACAGATTATTCCACGCTGCTCCTCATTTTAAACTTTTGATATGGTGAATTAGATCAATGGTTATGTTTTTTGCTCGCAAATTGAATAGAATTTATTTGGCTTTGCAAGTGAATGGACTTCCACAATAATTGGTGTGTGGTGTGAGACCGGTGGGACAGTTTATCACTATTACTATTTTCCCCCTGGAGTGAACACTCTCATCGGGCTGTGCATACCCAAACGCTGTTTAAAAATGGAACACATTTGTCATTTTGACGCACCTACTAGATGTTGCCTTTTTGTCATCAAGGTTTTCGCGGAATAGATGAGCGCCAAATTCAAGCACAGCTGTGAGTTATGCCATCAAACGCATCATCGGAGACGAGTGCATGTCCACCGACAAATGGAGCACCACAAATACACTCCCTTTTGGACCGAATAAATCCGACTCCGTGCCTCATCAGTAGATTGAGATGCCATCATACCTTGGGGGTTGTCAGAACCCACACTGGCCCAAAACGTACCAGGGGACTAACTACGAATTGAGCCCGAGAAGCACCAAGACAACCACCGCGAACTGATCAGCAGCACCTCTGGTCCTAATCGAGCCCCAAGAGGGAGAACGGACCTCGCGCCCGCCTGCACCGAATGCAGACGAGACCCAGTAAAAGGGCTCCGCTTTCACGACCCCCCAAGTTATGACAACTAAGAGGACCGTATAAAGCGAGACTGAGCCCATTTTCACCCCTCCCTTGCACTAGACGTCGACAGCGTCATCCCGTCCGTAATCTACGTCAATCCTAACGCGCGCTGCTGCAGCTTCGAACGAACCACGATGGGTTTGCGGAGGCAGGATGAGCAAACGCACCAACTGCTAAAATGGACCCGTCAATAGTAAATCGAAATATTGGACAGTATTTCTATTGTGAAATTGTGGGATTCCAAAACGCGAGGAAAAAGAAGATATGCAAAGGGCCTCAAAATGGCCAACTGTGCGGGGGAAGAGGCAGTTTTTTACTCTCTCCGTCGGCAGGGGTTGGTGCTTGCTCTCCGTCTCTTATGAGAGCAAGCAAACGCAGACGGAACAACAAGGGTTATGCGAGATCAGATCGACGCTAGATTGCGGACTTGCTAAAGCTGATGCGCAAATGTGAGTTTTCACTCAGTTGGGTGTTGTGAAGGGCCTGGGAAAAGGAAATGAGAAGCACAAGAACTAGTCAGCGCCTTTAAATGGGTAAAAAATATATAAACAGCCAAAACAACTCCGACAAATTGCAGGAAGAACGGTGGAATGAGAATATTGCATGAGTTCCAAAATGGAGGTGGAGTTCAACAAAGCACTGCACCTAACTCAACTTCGATTTATGTCTTCCCAGATGTCAAAGCAACCAACTTACGATGAGGGCCTCCATAGCACTTTCAACGCTGTCCAGCTGTACGAGAGCCATCTTGTTATCCTTTCTGAAATGGAAATCAGAGTCACTCAACGAGGTGCCGTAACAGACGATTATGAAGAGAAATACTATTTCTCGCTCCAAACTTGTGGACGACAAGCAAGCTGGTTAGCAGTCCGCCAAGTAAGGGTTAATTTATCATTAGATTGCGAGAAGGGGTAAGCGGGTGTGCGTTTACAAAAAGACCACGGCAATTCACTTACGCTTGCTCTGGATGTTTCTGATAAAATCTAAGAAAAATATGTCGCGAAAGTGACTCCTTAATTCACGCAGACTGGTACAATGTAAAGAGTAATCGTGATGGCTAGATCAGCCAATATATGTCGGGTTCCTAGAGTGCGTCTACTTCCTTCTTATTAGCTTTCATAATAAATTCAAAAAGCACAGTTGTTTGAAACAAAACACAATTGACCCACAGAGCTCATGAATCTACTGCATTGAAAAACTTGCCTACGCTAATGCTTATACCTGCATTGATATAGGTAGGTAGTCAACTTACTGCATAAAACGGAACCCTACTACATCGAAACCCTTCGAGCGGAACAACGTCCGGACGTCATCCTCTGTAACACTTGGAGGGATATTGCTCAAGTGGAGGACATGGCTTGGTGGATAAATATTTTGATAATTTTTCGAGTTAGGCTTTCTAAATCGATGGAGCAGGTTATTGGAGTAGTCCTTGGTCAGGTGATTGTCCTTGTCTTCCTTTGGCAGCTGCACATAGTTGTGGCGCGAGATGGCTATCTTCATCGGCTGGCCCCAAAGCACTTTTTGGTTTAAATACTGCATAGCTAAAAGGGAGCCACCAAGCAAAAGGTGGGCTTAGTTTGCGTTAAGCTTACGCACACTCGTAATACCTGCCACACCATACTTCTAATTACGGATTGCCTAATTACGCTGAACTGAATAAATAAGTAGCCGCCGCTACTAGAGCAAATCTTTACAGTGGCATTCAATGAACAAGTGGGAACACATATACCTACCCAGTATGGCTTGTTGGGAGTCACTGAATTGAATAAGAGCAGTATCCTTCTTGTTAAACATTATCTTCACGCGCACCACATCTCCGTAAACACCTAAATAAATACGTGTAGCCAAGGTAAGTAGCACATCGAGGATGCCTTTTTTAGATATATGCTTCCAATTTGAAGCACATAACGATATTACTCAACCACTACCTGACAAAAGAACCTGCTGTACTTATAAAAGGAATTTTGCTACATTGGTCAAGGAATGAATGTGGAATCCCTAGTAGGATAACGGCCAAAGTAAGACGGGGTTCGAAGTCGGTAGCTGTTGTTAGGTAGCGAAAGGAGAGTAAGACAGTAGTAGGTGTGTATGGCCAATACCTGTTTCCTCTATGCACTACCTTATATATACAGCTGGTAAGGAATAAATCCGGACGAATAAAGAATAGGGCGGTATGGAACTTGTGTAAACGAAGCAAGCAAAAAGGAGCTTACCAAACAAGGTAAATAAGGCGTCCGGATACACTCGCTGAATTAAAATTGATAAATGGATAAGATGTGGTAGAGGATAAGTGACAAGTATAGGAAAATTGGGCAAGAGAAGTATCACAGACAAGATCCACATATGATCCACCACGATTTTAGAGTAGACACGCGACGAAGACGACGCAGTTGATGATTCAAGTGAGAGAGAGGGAGAAACAGAAAAGAATGAAAAACCAGAGTAAGCTGAAAGAACATTGGAGCGAAAGCAAGAAAACGAATAGGACAGTCGTTAATGGCCTTGTGTATAGATAAATTTAGATCGAAACGGCGTAAAAATAAATACAAATATTTTACCAAAAATTAAGCTGCGCGTGAAAAGAGCACTAAGGACCAAAAGAAACGGGAAAAAGACGCCCTGTAAATCACACTTAAAATCGTCTTTGGAAAATTTAAGAATGGTTTGGAATTCAAATGACATCCAGATTATTAGACGAGAAGAAAACGAAGATTGGTCGATGAAATAGTCTCCTGGAACGGTGATATATCAAACCCATCCTCTATTCGTGATACATAGACGTACCTCCTCGTTGAGGTTGGAGACGATGAGAACGGTGCTTCCATTATTGTTTAGAGGTAAACGGATTGCCAAAGACGATGACTGGGCAGCAGCTGCGGCCGCTTGAGCTGCAGTGAGCTTTTGCAGGGCAGTAACTGACTGCGAAACCGATCCGGCACCTGAAAACTGACCGTTTCCGCCTCCAGCACGGCCACTGCCGGACTGACCTTGATTAGCAGCCGCATTATTAGCTGCAGCTGAGAACGCCAGCAGGGATGCCATAGTAGGATTAATGGCCGCCCCATTCGCCGCGTTGGGAAATGCCGCACCACTCTGTCAATCAAAGGTAGTAACGAGTAGGAACACAACTACAATGCCATACAACCACAGAAATCGTGTCAGATGGTAATTCACCTGCGCGGAAAGCGACATGAAACTGGCAGTAGCAGCTGCAGCGGCAGGAGAAAGCTGCAAACCAGCTTGTTGAGCAAGTGCCATAAGTTGTGTGGTGAACTCGGTCATTCGGCAGGCGTTGTTGTTCGCCGCTGCAGCCACCCAGGCGGGTGGCATAGCAGCAGGAGTTTGTTGATGTGGATGCAGCATAGTCGGACCACCAGCTGTACCAGTAAATTGAGACATTGCGGCAGCAACGGCGGAATTCGGGCCGAAAGCGTGACCACCCTGACCATGCCCACCACCATGGGACACATTGTTAGACATTCCAGCTGATGGCAGCCTACGAAGACTCGTCAACTCATCTTCTGTTAATGGGTTAAGCACGTAATCACGGCATTTCTGGCTCTCCTGACGGATTTCGAGGGGACCGCGATTTTTAGAAAACTCCACCGAAAGGTGGCAGCATCCAGTGTAGATATTTTGCCGATTTAAATGCTAAAGCATTCACCAGTTCGTTAAAGCCAAGTAATAAAAGTACACCAATGGATACTTGGTAGCTGATTTACCAGCATGGCCACGAAAGCTTGTAGGTGATTCTCGAACTCGATAAAGCCTTGATAATGGTCATTCTTAAGGAAAATAATAACGCGGAGGATCTTCCCGAACCTATGGAAGATCTAAGACTGTACACCAGTAGAAGTGACCTTACTTTGTAGATAATAATATGATTAATTTGCTGATCCATAATATCCTCAATGATGATTCGAAGGACGGTATTCGGATTTCCTTGATTAGCTCCAGAAAGGTCTTGCTGTACAACCGAATTCGCCCTTTGAATAGCTTGGTTCACTATAGCATTCTCCGCCTTTAATTCCAAATGTGGGTGTTTAGAAAATTGTAGAACAAGCTGACGACCGTGTAGTATAGCTGGGTATTCTTGATAATATTCCACCATGTCCATGGCACTTTCAAGAAGCTCCATTTCTATGAGGGCCTGACTACTTCGTTTTGACAACACCATATTCTTCAAAAAACCGAAGGGAATCGCTAGGAGTGTGACGTCCTGTTCAGTAGCATCTACAGGAAGGCTTCGGATGTGGACAACATTGGATAAAGGGGTATCTACTTGGTCCATTCTTGACTTCAACAGTAATACAAGAATATGTAACAAAACCATACCTTCTTATGTTCATTAATTTCTACTTCCATTGCGGCAGCATGCCCTTCACCATTAGAGGTTACAGCTTCTGCATCCGGAACGCGCTGAAAATTATGACCACCCAATTAATTAAAGGCCCAGTTGCGCTACATAGACGTGCAAGAAACTACAAAATTAGCATATGAAACAAATATGGAAGCAAAAGGGTTTAAAAAGAACTACAAGTTAACGGGAGAAAATTACCTTTCGCTTGCTGGACTAAAACATCAAAAAAGTAATCGTTTAGAACAGTAATCGGGGACTCATGTTTATTTCTGCAATGCACAAGATGTTTACAAAACTATGATGATAATCTGTGATAAATTAGAATCAGAAACGCAAGCTCAGTCGAACGCAATTACACGTACCATAAGTTGGGAGTATGACAATGAAGACATGGCGGACACAGCCGCGAGTTCACCAACAAAGGACTTCTAGTGGTTCATTCAAAGGCATGGCATGAAATACTATTTAAAAAATCCAAACCTCAAGTTTACCATATCAAGGCTGAATCAATTACGCCTACTAAAAACCTTTGAAATCCATTCGTCGCATGTATACGTGTAAAAGAAGTTACTACTAATAAAGTTCACTTGAAATTCTTTGCTAGACAACATGTGCCTGTAGTGCATAAGGTGTAAACACGATCTTAAACAAACGGGTTTATTATATTAAAGAAATTTTTTATGGAACATATATAAGGCATATATTGAACCTTAAACCAAATAATGTGCAAGCCGTTGTTTTTTGTTAAGCAGTCAGTATAGCTAAAAAGCTACGCCATTAGGGTCATTGTACCTCGCCGGGTGGGCTGGATTTCGGGCCATGCTAGCGGTCCTGGTCTTTCCTACGTCGCATGCACTTATTTTGATCGAGTATTACGCCTTCTTTCACCATGAGGGAAGTCTCGGAGCACTACCGATAGGTCTATCATCGTTCATGTATTTGTGTTAATTTCATCGGTGTTAGAGTCATTTTAGTAATTAGGGCTGTCACTACTGTCTTTCTCATTTCTAATATTCCCTCAAAAATTGATGTTCACATCGCCTCAATTTAGGTGTGTAGAGCCCGCATTTATTCTGAAACTAGAAATGGTCATAATACACAGACAGGTAGATGAATTAGAGTGCTACTGACACGGCTCGAACGCCATGCTTCCCAGCGAGAGTGTAAAGACGAATCTTGCGGTTGCTGCGAAACCAGATAAGAAGAGTTAAGTAAGTCACCAAGGCCTTCTGATCAGTGCTGGGATTTGTTTCTAAACGAAATTACAAAGGGGACTTTCTAGATCTCAGTTCATGTTCTAGGTAGTTGCACCCGCAAGAAATCGTTTGGTGTTTGCGCAGTCATCTGTAATTAAATGGGGTTTTCCAAATATATCTGCTGTTTTTTCTTCCTAACTCTAATTAAAACCCATTAATTGAAGAAACCTGGCAGTATGATGTATATCGTTTTATATTAGTAAGAGTTTTTACGGGAGATGAGGGTTATTAAAGGTAACCGGGATTCGCCCTTTCCGATCATATCCATGAAGGGATTTAGGCCTTAAGGTTGGTCCGGTCAGCTCGCTTACCACCTTAGAGGTACACTACACTGGCTCCTGGCCTATCAGGGATCATGGGGAAAAACTAGAAATCGGGAATTTGCTGGAACTAAGAAAGCTTCAATCTTCTTAGATTTGGTGTTGCTCTTCTGTATCACCTGGGTTTGGTGATCAGCGACCTTAATCCGCACGGGGTTTACATGGCTTTATTACTCATGCAGAGTCCTGTTCCTTACCCATAGTCATATTAAATCATGCTAGCATGGGAAGCTTTAATTTCATTCACTAATTAGAAATTTTGTGCTTGCATTTAAGACTGCGTTATCAAAATATTCCTGATTTTAATGTAGAACGAGTTGGAGTATTTGGAATTACCACGACGATCAGCCACTCGTTAAAATAAGCTGTTTTCATTACAACAAAGCCACAAAGATAAATTACCAAGATGAATGGGTTGGAGCCACAAAACGACTATAGTTAAAATGTGTAATTTTAGTTAGTGCCCTTAGATCGAATCATAGTTATAATGAACACCACCTACACTGTAATTTAACCAATCAAATTTTAGAAGACTAGCCAATAGAAGAGTTGAAAAGAAGGTTCTAGTAACTTTGTTTGTGCACCACTACCGTGTGCTCTCTGTGGTCTTTCTGCTATGGGCGTCGATTATTACAAGGTGCTAGGCCTTGAAAAAGGAGCTAGTGAAGAGGATATTAAAAAGGCCTACAGAAAAATGGCCCTGAAATATCATCCTGACAAGAATAAATCACCAAATGCTGGTGAGAAGTTCAAACAGGTTGCCGAAGCCTACGAGGTACTTGTTTTTTCCATTTATAAATCTGTTTAGGTATTGAGTGATCCAAAGAAAAGGGAAATTTATGATGTGTATGGTGAAGAAGGCCTTAAAGGCGGTATTGGTGGTCCAAGTGGTCGATCTGAAGGCGCCACTTTCACCTTTACCAGTGATCCTCGTGAGACCTTCCGAGCATTCTTTGGCACGGACGATCCTTTCAGCACCTTCATGAGTTTTGGCACTGGTAATAGAGGCGCAGAATTCATGGATGTTGACAGTGATTTCCTTAACCGAGGTGCATTCAGTGTAGGTTGAATTCTTATTTAAACTAAACGTTTTTTTATTTGTGGTGAATAATTTGCTTGTAAGAAATACACCTGATGGAGGCCTAAATTACATATCAGGTGACTACTCATGACTTGAATGTTATGGTTTGCAAAGTCTACTGTTTTTGGTGTGGGTCTATACCTTCCATTGGTCGTTCTCTTTTGATGTGATATTAATTTGAAATTGTCTGCCCTAGGTAAGTAGTAATTAGTATATTTTATTTCAAGTCGTAGGCGGTTGTCATTCGCTGTTCTAGTGGACTTATAAAAAGTGCATGTGAAAGCCTACATTTGTTGCAATTTTCTTAGTCTTCCGTAAAAGTCTTCCAGTAGCTTTGTGTGACCGTTCAATGTGTCGCCCTTATGTTGTCCATATCATGTGATATAACCGCAGAATCCAAGTATTATTGGCAACCAACTGATCCCGTTGTAATTTACTCAGTTTAGCATGTCACTTGCCATTGTTCATGGCTTCGTCAGCCATGCAGAATACACCGCGTCTTCACGCAACCATGTGTAGACTTTTTTCTGTTTACGGATGCTGTTCAGAATGGCTTTAACCAGGATTTTTACAGTCAGACAAATTCGGCTACATCACGGGCCTCCGGTTAATCACGAGGGTATAAGCTTCGACATTGCTTCCACTTGCACTAATTTTTGTCATGCTTTGATATCAAAGAATGCTCCTGTCTTCTGCAGAAGCGAGCACGCTTCTCGGTGCACCTTGCTATCAGTTTTTAGATGGGTTCAGCAGTTTTACGCACTTTTATGTACGCTCATTCTTGGTTCCAGCGTTACTTTCTCTGGATAATCAACTAGAGTTTACAGAACAGCTTTTCCGTCTGGCCTCCATTATCAGTTTGAATGGTGTTCTTTTCTTCGCTTTCTGTGTCCGAATTAATTTCACATCTTCTTTTGTGTTTTTGTTATTCTATTTCTGGTAAGGTCAGTTTCCCTAATTTTATGCATTTCTGCCTACTTTAACTATCAATTCAATTTAAGCAGCATTATTCTATTTCCGTGACTGGTGTTGAGTTTCATAAGCCCCGAAGCAATGGTTCGATTGCATATATTTTGTTATCTACAGATTAAATAGGCTCGTTTCAACCGAGAATGCGCTTAACCATTGGAATGTAGAAATGTTGATCATTGTGTATGTACGTGTTTGTGTGCTCTCGCTCAGGGTATATTTATGAACACGGGAGGCGGTGGTGCGTCGCGCACTCGACGAACCCAGGATCCGCCCATTCACCACGACCTGAGTGTGTCCCTAGAGGATGTGCTCTATGGCACTACTAAGAAGATGCGCATCACACGGCGACGTATGGACGGCGGTACGGAGGAGAAAGTACTCACCATCGACGTGCGCAAGGGCTGGAAGGCGGGCACTCGCATCACCTTCCCTCGAGAGGGTGATGAGCGTCCCAACACTATCCCCGCCGATATCATTTTCACTGTTAAGGATCGCTCGCACAAGTACTTCAAGCGCGATGGCGCCGACGTCCGCTACACCGCTAAGATCGGTCTGCGCGACGCTCTTTGTGGCTGTCAGATTCAAGTGCCCACCATTGATGGAAGGAAGGTACCGTTGACGGTGGAGGACTGTGTCATCAAACCCGGTACTACCCGTCGGGTGATCGGCCAGGGTTTGCCCTATCCCAAGGAGCCCAACCGTCGCGGTGACATAATTGTGGAATTCGATATTGTCTACCCGGATCGTATTTCGCCCTCGGACAGAGAGGCGTTGATGCGAATTTTACCGCCATACATGCAGCCAAACCTGTGAAAATAGAAGTACTCACTCACTCACGTCACTCCTTTTTCATTCTCTACCAAGCTTGTCCACTTCCTCTATGTGTTTGTACTGCATGTGCTTGACCACTTTCGTGCGGTTGCAACTACTGTTGATAAGGCTTTGTACTTAGCAACAAAATTATTTAATGCTGCTTCTAGTCTTGATTTTTTTCCCACGTGGGTATGCTCTCGTTCTTTTGTGCCACTATTCGTGTGCGTTACCAGTACCTCGGAGTGGTCTGATTTCATCTTTACAACTTAATGCTTCGGGGTTGCCAGTGCAGATGTTTTTCTCTACTTGATACTTGGTAAGAATAAGCGTAGTCAGCGAATGTGGTGTGTTGCGGGGCGACATCGTGAGGGGGAACTGCCTGGAATTGGGTGGAGTGCGCCTGGGTTATTTTTGCTGCGAACTCGGTCAATGCGAGGCAGGCGTGAGTTGCCCTTGTGTAATGCTGACAGGATTGAACTGACACGATGCAGAAGGTATGGGAAAGAAGGGGCATAATTACTCGTTTTTCTTGAGGGAGGCGCCAATTCTTCCCCCTAATATGGCCATGAAATGGAAGCGATGGGTGCGCTCACAGATTAAGGTTTATTGGAACAGCCAGTGCGGTCTATTATTATTATAAATTGCACTCAAAATGTATGTTGCGTGGTTGACAGGCTCTCCGTCACTGGAGTGCACTTCGTGGAAGACACCACAAGTGTATGAACATACATCCTGCAGTAGCACAAGCAAGTACCTACACTGCTTAACAAAAGTATTGTTTCAAGGTTGCTGTAAAACATTGGTTGTTTAACTGTTTGTTTTGATGAAGAGCCACTTTTTACTTGGCCACTGTACCACGCCGGGTAAGCTAGCTTTTGGGCCATGCCAACAGCCCAAATACATTTTATATGTTGAATGTATATATATATATATATGTTCTGCTTGAGTATTGTGTCTTCTTTTATCTTCAGGGAAGTCTTGGGGAGCTACAATTACTCCTGTATATTCTTAAAATAATTGAAACATTTAAGGCTACGACAAGAAGGTGGAGTAATAAATTAATGTTTTTAAGTGTACGCTTACGTGGCCGTTTTATTCCACCCTACGGCATAGCCTCTGCGCACTGATGATAGGCCCCCGGCTCTTCTGTACTTTAGGCATGTTCTTCCATTCCACATTGGATTACTGGGCTCTCGTGACGCTATGGCATCACTGTTACAAATCCCTAATTTGTAAGCAACCCATTTTGGGATGTTACACCCTACGAGTGGCCAAAAATTGAATTATCTTAAATAGATTCGGGGTTTCGGTGACAAAACTTTTCTCGATGTCTTCTTGCGAGCATCCCTGTGTATTGTATATGGAGAAGAGGCTGTGCTTGTAGCACCTAGTTTTCACTAAGAAGTAAGATGCAACTGTTAGGATTCAGAATTATTGATCGTTTTGGTGCTCGGGAAACTTGCACAGTGTATGACTTAAGGTATGACGTTGCCTAATATCATATTGGTCTTTTGCAATTTGGCAGTCGCCTGCTGAGACTGATCGAGCAGACAGACGAATTTACGAAAAAGTGCGTGTTAATGGAAGAGGGAGCATTAAATATTCTTTCGTTTTATTCTTGGTGGTTGATTTAATGAAAGGATAAGCTCTATTTGTTCCTTTGTCTCTACAATAAACTAATTGGTAGTAGTCTACTGCCCCTTCAAAAATGTTCGTAAAACAAGCAGGTAGCATAGCTTTTTGGCTCTAAAATACCTCTTGCAAAACTACTTGAATTTGAAATACTTTAAAATCTCCGGTGAATGATAGTGATGATGCCTTGTGCGCTGATTGGTTTACTTAAAGCCCGTTTGTGTGGGCTTCGCCAGCACTATTCAGTTCCTTGGGGCTAGGTGCCTGCAACGGAGGCGTCGACTAGCCATGATTTCCGGCGTCTTTACTTTTTTTCTTATTTGTACTTATAGTTATACGGTTGTGCTTCCTCTCAGCACTCTTTCAGATGCAACATTATCATCTCAGAGTCGTTATGCGATTGTCATTGATGCCGGTAGCAGCGGCAGCCGTCTCTTTGTTTACTGCATTCCATTTCGCAATCGTGGTGATGGTGTCTTACCCCCTGTAACCTTATGCTTGGATGGTCAAGAGAACCCTCTAACGAAAAAGGTTACTCCAGGACTTTCATCCTTGGTGTCTAACCCCTCTTCTGCTCAATCTTATATCGCTAACTTACTTTCATTCGCGGCGCAAAACATCCCGAAAAATCACCATGTTATAACCCCTGTATACATCCTCGCTACAGCCGGAATGCGACTTCTAACCAATAGGTTAGTCTCCAATCTCTGATTTCAGTCTCTTACTTAGTCAACAAGATGCCATTTGGAGCACGGTTCGAAAGACAGTAAAAAGTGAATTTGATTTCAAGTTTGATGATTCTTGGGCTCAAACTGTTTCCGGCTATTCTGAAGCGTTATTTGGATGGATAACTGTAAATTACCTACTTGGAAACTTTGTCGGTATGTAACCGGAAGTTTTCTCTTTCTGTCTTTGGTTCCTTCCTTTAACTCTGTTTATAAAACTCAATCCTATATTGTTTATTTTGCTCTGTACCATCAAATGTCCCTAGACTAAGAGTTTATCATCCTCTATGAATTCTCTACTGGCAGCCAGTTTCTTCACTTATTCCACCTTCCAATAGTGTCAAACGGTTGTCTCCAGATTTAGTACTAGTCTTTGTTCCCCCGCCATCGAATTAGAAATGCTAGCTCTGTCATTGGTACGTTTGTGCCACGTCCATAGAAGGAGTGCGTCACTTACTAAATTTTGAATGAATGCAAACGACACTCTCAGGTTTGTACAAAAATTAATCGCGATGTTCTTTCTTGGCACCAGACTCTCCCCTTCAGACCGTGGGTATGCTAGACATGGGCGGGGCGAGCATGCAAATCGCCTATGAGGTGCCTTCGGAGATGCATCCGCCCGAGGACTTCATCCTCCCTTTCACCATCGGTAGTAAACACACCTACAATGTCTACGTTATGACCTTCCTCGGCTATGGCACTCATACCACCAAAAGTCGGTAAGGTTGCTCTTCTCACCAAAACCGTGTCAAAAATCTGCCATCATTACATTGGAATGTTTTGTCTTCGACCATCTCCGCGTATATTTCAAATACTTTTAAAATTTTACCAAGTACAATGCCTTCACTGGCCTCTTTGGCATCTTGTGTCTGTTCTTTTGCTTTAAATTTTATTCGGACAATATTGTGACCATTATGTTGCTTTGATAATTGCTCACTTGTTTCACATCCTTCATGTACAATGGTTCAAAGAAACTGTTGTGACCCAGCGTTGATTGCTTGTGAATTTTTACTACGGTAGTAAAGCTACTCTACATTGCCAGTTTTTAGTGGGGAAGGAAGTCTGCTTTTTAGGCATCACGGGTTTTCCTGTTCTACCTATAGCAATTCAGGTTTCATACTTACCCTCTTCGTTTACTTAATGCTTGCCTTTAATATGGATCAAATGCCCTGTTGTGAGGAGAATTCTTGCTTTGTGAAAGCCCTTGGATCAATTTCATTGGGTTATTCCTGGTACTTTGAGTCGTACTAGTTGGTTGTTAATTTAGCAAATCTTGAAGGTACCGTGGTAAACTTTACTCTGCAAAATTGCTGAGTTTTTTCCCAGTACGTGGTTAAAAATGCTTTGTACGTTTTATTCATTTGCCAGGTACAAGTCTTCCCTTCTGCACAACGCCATTGAATATTCACAATACTCAAGCCTCTTAAAATTGCGTTATCGACCTTCAACAGGCTACATCAAGCCACCAAAACTCGCTAATCTCACTCTCCAGTTGCATTACACCACAAGCGGACAAGAAAAATTCATCTTCATGGTTGGTGGCATACATTACTTCAATTTTGTTCTAGATCCGCCGGCTTTTGCTGATGCCTTTCTCTCATTCGCGCAGGATCCCTGTCTTCAACCGGGTCTGGAAGACACCTTAAATCCACGAGACTTAAGCCTCTCAAGGACCCTTTTAACCACGGAAAATTCCTCCTCCCATACTGTCACTTTTCTTGGTACTGGAGATCTCTCACTATGCATTGCCTATCAGAAGGCTTTGCTGCAGAGGCATAAGCCCTGTCGTCTGGACCCCTGCTCCATGAACGGCATCCACCAACCCCCAGTGGACTTTGAGGGCACTCGGTTCTACGCTATGTCGGAGTACTGGTATACCTCCTCCGACCTGGACACTGCTCTCTCGGAGCCTTATAGTTTTGACACCTTCAATGCCTCCGC